GAAAAGTCACAGGAAAATGCATCTTCTTATAATTTTTTCTCTTCATTTGGATTGTTCGAAGGAGGAATATTCTAGTAAAACTAAAGCCAGGCATATTTTAGTCATTTTTCTCAAAAAGTTCATATAATATTATAGATCAATTAGTAATTTTAATTGAATAATAATATAATGATGATGTTAATTTTCACTTAGAGCAGCTCTAACGATCCAGAATTTAGAGATTTTGGGCCGTTTTTCGTTATTGAATTGCTCCAATAGTATCGCCAAAAAATGGGCCCCATCCAATGGGTCGCTGAAAACTACGACCCTCTTAGCAAGCCGGGGGCCTGCCATGTGAGCCCGCCTCTGTTTTGTTTTATTTGTTTTAATTTTGACCCAGAACACTGTTCCTGAGGGCATGTTTGCCTGAAAAAAAAAAATGGCTAAAAAAACAGATTTTTGGCTTCTTTTTTTTTTCTCAAAATAATTGAACCAAAGAGCCGTTAAGGCACTGTTTGGCAGACACAAACAGTGCCTTAAACGCTTTTTTTGGCAAAAAAAGTTAAAAAAATAGAGAAAGTGCTTTTTTTTTGTTAAAAAAAAAAATTTACTTTTTCAAATATTACTACTGACATTATAGCCGTTTTAAGCACTGTTTAGGCAAAACAGTGCCTTAACGGCTATATCGGCACAAAAACATATTTTGTTTAGGCAAATCCCCCTACACTTGTTTAATATATATCATAATTATATATATATATATATATATATTTAAAAAAAAAAAACAAAAAAACTTTTCATTTTTCCTTAATAAATACATTAACCCCTACTATTATACACCTCATATCCAACCCATCTTCTGTGTTCTTCAACCTACAATTACAACCACTAAGTCATTTTCTCAATCTTTTAATTATATTTTTTACTCAAGTTCAATTCTATGGATCCTCTACCACTATATTACAACTATAACTTCTAATTCAACCAATCAAATGATAATTTTGATCCCTTCTTATTTGTTGAAGAAGAATTTCAATTTGTTGGAGAAGAATCTCAATTTATGTCTCATCAACCTTCTCAAAATTTCAACATTCTTACTAAAGTGCCACAATCCAGTAACTCTCAACCTCTCAGAAAGCAAAGGGTTATTCAGCCTCCTAAATGGTCCACGGTTGAAGATGAGGCTTTATATTATGCGTGGATGACCATTAGCACTGATGCGGTCATTGGTTCAGACCACCAAAAGACAGCGTTATGGATCTGAATTCATGAAAGTTTTGAGCAACACGTTAGTGGTGCTGGTACACCTAAAAGAAATCATAACGTCTGCTTGAATCGTTGGTCCTTCATGCAACAAATGATTACCAATTTTTCTGGATGCATGCCCAGATCAAAAGGAATTATCTTAGTAGGCAAGACAATGAGTATAAAGGTAAGTTATTTATTATATTAAATTTAATTGGTAGATATTTTAAATATTTGTCTTCTAGTAAACATTGATTTTTATTTTTTTTAGATGATAAACGCCAAAGAGTTGTTCGGTCGTCAAAATAAGACCAAATTTAATTTTGACAATTGTTGGAACATTTTGAAGAGCAACAATAAATGACATTTACATTGTAAAAAGGAATTGATATATATATATATATATATATATATATATATATATATATATATATATATATATAAATCCCGAAGAAGAGTGGAATCCACATTGATGATAGTGAGTTTATTGGTTGCTCAAACCCATCTACTCCATCAAGTAATGCAGTAACGACACGAAGTTTGGTATAGGCGAAAATGATCCGACGGATGTTGAAGAATGTCAACGACTACAAAGACAAAAAACAGAGAAGTAAAGGCGAAATAAGGATGAATGTTCTAAGCAATTTTCAGAATGATTTCATTAGTAAATTCGATCACGCAACAACTCTTTATCAATCTAAATCTAAAAGTCTTGAAGCCGCTCAAATGGCACGAGAGACACGCAAAGTAGACAAAGAAAAAACCAGACAACTCGAGCTTCAAAGCAAACTCAGATAGATTGAAAACAAACAAAGAACTGAAGAAATGTTAATTATGCAAAAATATCCAGAATCGATGCCAACACAAGTCGGGAAAGTATGGCTAATTGAACGCCAAAATGAAATATTAGGATTTATACGCTCACGCAGTAATTCAAGTTTTCCATAGGAATATCTCATGCATTCCATATGATTGTTTTGTTTTTCCTAATTTATTTTAATAATGGTATTGTATTATTATTATTATTTTTAAATTCATGACGTATTATATTATTTTTTTATTTTTATAATTCATAATAAATATTGTATTGTTTAAATTTTTTGTATGATATAGCCGTTTTAAAAATATAGCAGTTAGAAAAAAGTTAAAAAATAAAATTTATAAAAATTTTAATAAATATTAAAATAATAATATTTTTGGAGAGCGAAAATGCACCATTGAAGTACATCCTATAGCTAAAATTTGAAGGCTCTAAAACGCTGACGGTTATGAAAAATACTGACATGGCTATTGAAAAATGATGATGTGATAAATTCGAAGAGCCTAATTATAAAGAGCCCATTAGAGATGCTTTTACATAAATCACTCAAAATTATTCAACATCCAGACTCTAAATCATCATTCATTACATTTACAATTGCATCAAACATTGGTGCCGAAACCACTTGGTGGGTACAAGATAGTATGATAGGTGGGTACACGGTGTAGCTCAAAATCAAAATTGGGTTATAGGGGTATTAACCAACTTCGGGTTTTAAATTTTAGTTAGAAGCCCAAGCGAGCCATCACAACACTGTGTCGTATGGGCCTGGAGTTTCATATTGACATTGAACCCTCCTTATATGCACTTAACACAAGGAGGATTCAAGATGCATCGATTTTTATGAACGAGGATAAAAGTTATCACGATATCATTAATATTTTTAATTTTTTTTCCTCACTTAAAATTTTCATATCTGTTTGTTGGACTCCCTAATTTACGGTACCAAGACTCCACAAAATGAAATGGGATTGTTTGCTTTTTTTTTTAAAAAAAAAAAAAAACTGAGCAAAAGCTTGTTAATTGACTAGAAATTTTAGGAAGTCCATGCGGACCATGCAATATCATGAATTATGTACGCATGCAACAAAGTTTTAACAACCAAAAGGCAAAAACAAAAGAATATATATTTTTATTTTTTTCAAAATTAGAGGATTAACACATTAAGGTTAGTTTGTTTTGAGGCAATATATATATATATATATATATATATATATATATATATATATATATATATATGATATTTAGTAAAAGAGGTTGAATTTATTAAACGGAACATGTAAAATAATTTGTCAAAAAATTTGTCAAAAATTAATAGTTAAGTTAATTTTGTTAAGTTTTAATATTTTTATTTTCGTAAATATTTTAACGACAATTAAATACTAAAAAATAAAAAATATAAATATATTTTTAAAAATATTTTACGAACCTAATTTGAAAGAAAATTACAATCAACCAAAAAAACGCTACAACTAACCAAGAAGGCCAAAAATGCCATTCAAGTTTATCAAATATGTTTTTTTATATAATACTCCGTATAAAATAAGTATATAACATTCATAGAAATGGTGTGGCGCCACTAGGTTGGAAACTTGGAAACGCCATCATTTCTCTCGGCCAGAGGTGGTGACAAGAGCCATGACATAACATACACTCGTGTATATATATATATATATATATAAATTCTGTTAGGAGCATTTATGATGCAATTAAGTCAGTACATGACGCACTATATTGTGACGAATGTCCTATGACATCATCATCTTTTTGCAAAATCCATGCGTGAGAACTAAACCCCCCCCCCCCAAAATAAATAAAACTTACAAAATTATCTTTAGCAATCCAATAAAAAAATTTTAATTAAATTTTTAAATTAAGAAATAGATGACGTTGAGCGAATTGCGTCATGTAAAAACGTAATCCTACAAATTATTTAGGTCATCGAATCTGAGCGTGCAGTCAAAAAATTGGACCTGAAGATGAATCCTTCTAGGCTTCTACCCTACTAGTCTATCTTTGACAGCCCCCTCCCACAATGGTTACCACATTGTCCAACCGCCCGGTCAGCTAATCTACTTGTACTGTCAAAATTGTTGAATTTCTTACCAATTTGTGGATTCATTTATTTTTTAAAATTCGTGTCTGTTGAATTTATTTATATATTTAGTTAATTGCGGATTTGACAATTCACGTTGCTGCATTTGTACAAAGCTACTGTCACTCAGTGTCACGTGGCTAAATTTTTTTTTTTCTTTTGATGGTTCTAAAAGTTCTTAAACTGAAAAAACATAATACTCCGTGCCCATTAAATGCCCCTAAATAATTGAGCCGGTAGTGTGTTCAAAGATACAGAAACTTCTGCAGCATTGGTCGTCTAGTCATTGTTAGGCTGTACATGCCACCTAATCAAATACAGTCCTATCTTTATTTTTTATTTTTATTCGTCTTAATCAATACTTAGACACGGTGCCTTTATTTATTGAAACTTGAATTTTTTATTTTTTTTTAAAAAATAAGAATCTGATAACGATAACTCATTGACTAATTAGTTAAACATCTATTATGCCCTGCAATAAATTACTTACTTCAGAAAGGATATTGATGGAAGCCAATATATTCAAGTCCCATTCTTATTGGAGAGGATTCGTTCTTTCTTTATAAACTACAAGACTCGCTTCTTGTGAGAAGTGATCCAATTACAAATACACATATAATTTATAATTAAAAAGTCATAATAATTAAAGATAATAACTTTTTTTTAAAAAAAATAAATTCAGTCACACTTTGTAATTTTCTTATTTATGACTTTTTTAATGTTATATTTATAAATTATTTATGCATTTATGATTGGAATTGGACCACGTTAGCGATAACTATGAATGACTCGTGTACCAATAGCAAATCTCGTCCCTTTATAAATTTGAACCGCACCACCATGATATGGTCATCATTTAAATCTTTAGTCATACTCCTAAGTTGGAATAAGAAAAATCTGTACTTGCTGTTTTTTAAGCCTATGGCTACCAAGGTACTTGTATCTGACCTTATTTATGATGTTAACCATGTTCCCACAAACTACATCCGACCCGTCTCCGATCGCCCGAATCTTGATCAAGTTGTTCAGTCATTTGATCATTCAATTCCTGTCATTGATCTCCAAGGCTTCAATGGTAGTATGCACTTTGATGTGATTAACCAGATTGGCCAAGCTTGTCAAAACTATGGCTTCTTTCAGGTACACACATACATACATACATACATATATATATATATATATATATGCATGTTTTGATCATGCTTTCATATGCAATATTTAAAGCATGTTGTTGATCATCATCATCATTCATTCTAAGCTAATTGTCTGTTGTTATGATTGCTGTGAAGGTTAAAAACCATGGAGTACCAAAAGAAGTGATTGATAACGTGTTAGGGGTGTCGAGGGAGTTTTTTCATATGCCGGAAAGCGAGAGGCTGAAGAATTATTCTGATGATCCTCTGAAGACAACGAGGCTTTCAACTAGTTTCAACGTGAAAACTGAAAAGGTATCCAACTGGAGAGATTTCTTGAGACTGCACTGTTATCCTATAGAGGACTACATACATGAATGGCCCTCCAATCCTCCATCTTTAAGGTATCACACATTTCTCAACTTTTCTAATATATATACAAATACATACATACATACATATATTTATCTATAAAATGGTTAGTTTCATATTTTCTTGTTTTGAACAGGGAAGATGCAGCAGAGTATTGTAGAAATGTAAGAGATTTAGCTCTGAGACTAGTTGAAGGGATATCAGAAAGCTTGGGCCTAAAAGGAGATTACATAAATAAGGCATTGGGGAAGCATGGACAGCACATGGCTCTCAATTTTTATCCACCATGTCCACAACCAGAACTTACATATGGGTTACCTGGTCATGCTGATCCTAATGTCATAACAATCCTCCTTCAAGATGACGTGCCGGGCTTGCAGGTCCTCAAAAATGGCAAGTGGCTTGCTGTCAACCCCATCCCAAACACCTTCATCGTCAACATTGGTGATCAAATACAGGTGAGCACTTACGTACATACACACACAACCTCCCAAAAAAACAAAAACAAAAGGGCCCTCTTACACACACAACGTGTTAGTGTGTAAATACGTGTCCTATGATTTACTAGGCTGCTGTTTGCATCCGAAGAAAAAAGCATCAAGGGTTTTTTTTTTTTTTCTCTTTCTAATTTTTTTTTTTTTTTTTTTTTTTTTTTTGCATTCACATATCGGTGGTTTTTGTCGGATTAGCGTGAGAATGGCATGGTTCTGTATGGGTTGTCAGGTTTTGGTTGTAGGATGGGTATGGGACCAGTTTTTATTTTCAACGGCCAGCTTAGAGTTTAGGAAAACTCGTCCAATACTCGGTGTTGTCATCCTACTTTAATAAATGAATTAAATTTAAATCAAAATTTGAGTTTGAAGAGGGTGATATTCAATCAAGAATAGACGCCTTTGAGAGCACCAATTAGTGTCTCAAATGTTAAATTAAATTTATTTAAATTTCAACTTCCGTATAATATATTGGATAATATTTAGCTTATTAATTTACCTGTGACGTGGATAATTAATAAAGATATATACTAATTTAATTATCAAATTAAAAATTGTAATTAATTTATTTCTGATTTGTTAAGTGAGTGTGTATCTTATCATCTCTGATTTGATAATTAAATTTTGTCTATATATATTTGCTGGGCGCCCTTAAAGTTATTTTTATTTTATTTATTTATTTATTATTATTATTTTTTTTTATCATTTTTGTTTTGTGTTTGTGTAGGTACTTAGCAATGATCGCTACAAAAGTGTGCTCCATCGGGCGGTGGTGAATTGCAACAAGGAGAGGATCTCAATTCCCACGTTCTATTGTCCATCACCTGATGCTGTGATGCAACCAGCCCCCGAATTGATTGACGACGACAATCCTGGTGTTTATAGGAGCTTCACATACAGCGAGTACTACCAAAAATTCTGGAACAGGGGACTTGAAACTGAAACCTGTCTGGATATGTTTAAGACATCCTCTGCTTGAAGTCATTTCTTTATGTCCTTGATGAGTGCGGAAGTCGTTCTTGATTAGTTTCTTTATGTTCTTGACGAGCCTGGGCTCGTAGTTCCGGCTTATATTCAATAAAATGTACTTCCTTTTCAGCTTTCAATATTATAAACTATAAATTCTATGACTTGAATTGATCTCAACCTTTGAAATTATTATTTTACTTGATAGGTGACCAATAAAGACACCGTTTTGTCCCGGTACCTGAAACGGGGCATGATAAAACACTGGCCCGCTCGTAATATATATGAGACTGATTAAATAATTTAGGAACGGGGAGTGGTTAGAATTGAAAGTTCACGTTACAGGTTGAGGTTAGAGGAATTTGTGTTGTTACACAATGAGGGACATAATCCTATCCCATTTATACTGACAAATTATAATTTTATTCTTATAATTTATATTATATTAAAAAAATATTAAGTACATATTAAACAAATCTTAGGTGATCATATACTCGGTAACTAATTAATTAAACAAATCTTAGGTGATCATATACTCGGTAACTAATTAACTATCACTGTATATGTTTTTGTATTATTCTTATTTCAGGATTTCTATTTATTTCAATATTGAAAGTTGTTATATTTGGGTTCTTACCATTAGAGTCAAAATATGGTAAGAGTCTTAGAGCATCTACAATAGTTATGTATATAAATATGATATGATGTGTCATAATAGATTTAAACAAAAATTTTAATTTATTTATTTTTAGCTCCGTCTCTTCTCCAGGACTTGGAAAAGGTACTTTTGGAACACCAATAAGCGTTTTATGTAAAAATATATCTCCAATAACAATCAACGAGTGTTATGCCTGGATCCTACACAAGTTTTACAAACTACTTAATATAGGATTGATTTGTTAATAAAATGAGAAAGAGGGAGGAAAAAGGGAAGTAGAATATGAGAGCAGGAAAAAGGGAAGTAGAATATGAGAGCATCTCCAGCGGTAGTGTATTTTTGTGTAAAAAAATATCCTCCAATAATAACCCACCATGTGTCATACCCAAGGCCCTATATAACTTTTACAAACCTACTTGATTCACCTTACTTTTTGGCGATTAAATCTCACGTCCCAATCTTCCTCAATTAGGAAAAAAAATTATAATTTCCCTCTAAATTTCACTTTCCCATCCCGCAAAAAGAAAACTTTCCCACCAGAATTCTAACTACATAAAACAACAATTATATAAAACGTGATTAAAATATATATCTAAAAATTAAAAAACCCCAGAATTTACTTTGATGATTGCAGAAGATAAAATCAAACAAAGTGACGAATCAAACTATATTTATTAAAAATAAATAAATAAATAAAAGATGTTCAAGCAGTTTTTACCTCACCGTAGTTACAAATTCTTCTCTATGGTGCTCTAGAAAAGTAGGAAACAAAGAGGCATGAAGGAATGAGAGAGAAGAAAGAGAAACGCGGGTGGGAAAGGGGGAAGAAAGAGAAAATATTAGTACGTGACTGTGTAAAGGGGTTGTGTATTTTACACAACCCGTTTGCACATTGGTGATGTGGCAATTTATCTTAACAGAATGCTGCATTAAAAAAATTTACAATTTCTATGTTGCGTATATTTTACACAAAAAGGTTTTTAACATACCGCTGGAAATGCTCTGATGATGTGGCTGTGCAAAAAAGTTGTGTAAAATATATAATAATTTTATACAACGTGGCAGTATATCTTAACAACAATTGGAGATAAAAAAATTTACACATCATACATGGCAGTATTTATTTTATATAAAAGAATATTTTAACATAATGATACTCTTTGTGTCTTAAGCGTATTTGAGTATTGTTATTAGTAAATGAACTATATTTGGAATTTCTTTGCAGCTATACCATTCTTTTTTTTTATTTTAATTATGATTGCACTGTTGAAATCGGCTATTGTATTATCAATATTTGGCAAAAATTTTAGTATGTTAATTTTTGGGATAAGGATATATCCTCTTCAAGAAAGGAGAGGTCCTGCACATCCACTAACCAATGATATGAGGGCTAGTTTGGTGTGGTGGAGTGAAATAAAAGAAAGTGGAACAAAACTCAAAAACCTAATTTCTCGTGAGATTATGTCCCTTAGATTTTTTTTTTTTTTTTCAAAAATCTTATCAGTTTCTTTTTTTCCCATTTTTTTTTGTGCGTTATTTAATTGCTGATTTTTTATTGAGGGAAAAAAAAAATCAATGGAATTTGATCATTACAACTGTTTCTTTCTCTCTTTTTTCCCTTTTGTTTTGGTTATTTAAATGCTATTTTTTTATTCAGGGAAAAAATGAATGATGATGTGTGAAACAAGAAAAAAAAAAAAATGGATCATACCTCCTTCAAATATTTTTGTCAATTGAATGGATGTCCAGGACTAGAAGGTTGAGAGGTAGAATATGGTTGAGAAAAAAGGGCTGAAGGCGGTGCCGGAAAGATAGAGAACCAGAGAGGAAATTGAACCCTTGAAAAAGAGAAAAGAAGAAAAAAAAAAATAGCTGCCCCCATTTTACCCGATGGATCCGGTTTATTTTATTTTTATGATCTCTTTAATAAAAGATGATATTGTTTCTTTTCATTGGACCACATAAGCGATGAAGATATTATAAATCCTCATTAGTGAGGACCTAAGTATTGTCCAATTTATATATATAGGAAGTTGAAGAGTAGATCATTGAAAAAAAAAAAAAAAATTTGGGTTTTGTTTGAGAGGGTTAAGAACTTAAAGATGGGTACTCACTCTTAACCCACTATTGATATTGAATTGTATGATTTAATTTTAGTGGGTGAATTTGGACGGTTTAATGGGTTTAAACATAAATTATCACTCCTATTTTAATCAATCAGACCCGTTAAAAATGGGTTAATGGATATAAACCCAGAACAAAAATAATTTCTCTCAATATCCAAGGAGACGAAGTGAAACCCCATGCACTTCTTCTCTTCCTCCTCCATTGGCTTTAGTTTCCTTTGTCTTCTTCCCCATTCCTCATTACCTCATTCCTCAAACTCTAACCCTAACCTTAGATTTCGTCTTCCCTCAAGAACCGTAACCCTAATTTCATTTCCTCCATAATGGAACTTTTTGAAAAACTAAAACTCACTACTAAACCATTGCTCCTTCAGAAAAGAAGTCTTTTGCAGTGGTCTCTTTCTAGGTATTGCATCCCAAATCATCAACACTTGAATTGACTGAATGGCAACCATTCAAATTTGGTAGCGTGTTACAATGTTTTTGGGACACTTGGTGGATTTTGAAGTGGGAATCGTATTTCTAGAAGAGGAGATTGGGTCAATGCAATGGCGTAGCCAGGAATTTCTTTCAGTGGGGGCAATATTTAATAGCAATAATATATATATATATATATATATAATTTTTAGCAAAACAATATATGTAAAAATTAAAATATTGATTCATAATATTTCTAGTCAGTACATTCACAATGATTTTTCACATTATTCATTTTTATTTCAAAATTTAATTCATTAAATTAAATATACTAAAAAAAAATTTAAATTCAATGAATCAAGAATAAGATATGAAAAAGAAAATAACAAAGTTACCTAATTGTTCTAATATATCACATATGTAAAAAAATAAAAATAAAAAACCATGATAATCAAATTTAACCTTATAAGTTATAACTAGAGAATTTAATCCATCATAAATTTTGATAGAGTTGAATATGTGATTTCATTGATTTGGGCTGAAAAAAAATATATTCGAAGTTTTATTTAGAGAATAATAATTAATAACACAATTACACAAACTAAATTTTGAAAGAACAATAAGTCCTAAAATTATTTTGATATTAATAACTAATAATTTTTCTAATTAAAATTATAATATCAAATAATAATCGTAAAATTTAGATGATAAAAAATATATATCAAATTACCTGTCTACTGCATTGAGTCTCTGTCTACTGGTAACTCCGTTTACTTTGTTTGGATTGCGGAAAATGTTTGAAGACTGAAGATGTAATGGAAACAATCAATTTGTTTGTGGTAAAGTCAAAAGTATGATAGAATATCTAGATGAAATTATTATTATTATTATTATTATTATTTGGAAAGTGGAAAAGAATATAATATTTTGGGAAAGTGAAAATAAAATATTATATTTTGTGTAAAAATATAAATTGATAGATAACCGTGAATGAGATTTTGGTTATATATATATATATATATATAGTATATATACGTACACTGTTAAATTTTAAAGGTTTTTGGTTATATATATACAATATATATACGTGCGTTGTTAAATTTTAGAGGGGACAGTTATACAAATATAAAAAATTTTCTATATAAAATTTTAAAAAATTAAAAGTTCAGTGGGGGCAGTTGCCCCCACTTGTCCCTCTGTGGCTACGCCACTTGGTCAATGGTGGATATCTGGGTTGCTGTGGTGGTGGAAAAGAATAGGTTTTAACTATTTTTTACAGGTTTCGTTTATTTTTTTAGGATAATGTTTAGTTACTCACCGATGAGTAGTTTCACCCTACTTACTCCTTAGGTGTTTCAATAACAAAATAACACATCAACTTTAATAAAAAAAATCAACAAAATAATATTTTAAAAAAAGAAAATCGAATCAACCCATTTTAATTGGGTAATCACCATTTCTCTTTTCTCTCTTCTCTTTCATTGAATCCCAACCCACGCCCTCCTCTCTCCACTGTTCTTCTTCTTCACCCTTTCTCTTTTTCATCGATTCACAAAATTAATTCACAAAATTAAACTGAACCAAAAGAACAAAATTAATTGACAAAATTAAACCAATCCATCTTCAACTTTGCAACCAATTAAAGAATTGAGCCTAGGTTAAAAAAAATATAAAATCTTTTGGTATTTCTTATCCTTCAATTTTTATTAAATCTCCATACATGTTATCAGTTTTACTACATTTCTATATTCACTTTTAATCATACTTAGATTAAATTTATGCATGGCTAATTCCTACTACCTTAAACTTTTAGAACAGATTCAATGCTTGATCTGACAAAGAAAGACAAATATACCAAGAAATCAACATAGGTCAACACATTAATAACAAAGAAACCAGACCTAGTTTTATTCAGGCTACACTTTTATATGTGGCTTCAGCTTTTCTCATCGATGCATACACTTGGAACAACAAATTAAACAGAAACAAAACAT